AGCTTAACAATATGCAACGCCGACTGTTACTTTTCCATGTTGTATACTTTTAGGCTCAACGGCTTTTCATTTGGAGAATTTCGGCGGCGAAAATTTTTCGTAGCGTTTGTCAGATACCATCGATAAGCTAAGCAAAGCTACAATGCATGATGTTCGAGATTTGGTTTTTTAATCGAAATACGCTCGAGATCATTTACTGAAGATAATATGTAGTGTATTGTGTAATTTACCAGGAACATACTTGCATATTTTGTTTGGTACTTTCCAGAAAATCATGGAATAATTTTCCATCAGTATGTTTATAACAGAAAGGCATTTGTAAAAATCTTGTCTAGAGATTAACGAACCGGGATCTCTTCCAGTTTTTTAAAAAGGTGCTTGAAAAGCTCTTTATAAAGCGGTTCATATACCAAGCTAAACAACGCCGATACTGGGCTCCAAATCAGCTTCATTTTGAAGAATAAATATCAAGCGCTAATGCCCTTCCTCTTGCCATTAATAATGTTGAAACATTGAATCACGTCAATTTATTTGCATTTCTCTGGATATTATTTGTAGCACCGCTCGACACCGTTTACTGACCCTCACTTCAGAACCAATTAGAGTGAATTCAAGCGCCATCAAGGCATAAGATGATCTGGTTGTCTCAGAGGCAGACGAGGTTTTTGTGCCTCTGAGCTATATCAAGGGCGGCATCTCTCAGCGCTGAAAAAGGTGGCTAGCAATAGGTAGAAAGAGCTATAATCTTGTAAGGTCTGCAGGAGTCTTTAGCCCACCGACTAACTGCCGGTTTATACTGGGCACTGGGCCTTGGGAATCCATGCTTCAAGGCTAGGACTGGAACACAATACTATTAGTAGTTGTAATTCACCAGATGCAGAAGAAACTGTAAGCCACCTGCTCTGCGATTGCCCAGTGCTATGTAGGACTAGAATTAGAATTCTAGGCAAACCCTACTTCTGCGGTTTAACAGACATACATAAGTGATATTAACCCACTGCAACTTCTTAAGCTCTTGAACTCCACATGCTGGATTTGAGAAAAACAACCGACGTCTGCTGGGTACCTGTTAAATTCGCCGCTTCAACCAACCAACATGGATTGCTGACGAAAGCATAGGCGCCCAAAAAGACAAAGGCAGGCCCAAATGGGGAAGGTGTGGCTACACTTGGTTTAATTGTAATACATTTTATCAGTTTGCCCAGACAGAAAAATGGCTTCAGAGCCCATATAAGATCAAAGGAAAGACTGATCTAAAAGTTGCAATTAAATAAATTGCATTACTACTAATCTTTCTCTCCTTTTATCGTCTAGAAATTAAACACAAGTCACCACTTTTGTGATTTTTTAGTACGTAAGTATACATTAGGGTTGTCCATAAAATTAAATGAACAATTTTTTCAGTCTCACCCAATTAATCGGTAATACCATGGTGAAAGATATCACATATAAATGTTGGTCTAATACCTAAAATCGATAGTATCATAGTCGAAAATATCAACTATAAATTTTGGTCCCGATTGGAGTCGGTTAAGGCGCGTCGCATAGGGGTCAAAGTTCAGATTACCCTACGAAGACGTCTTAACGGTCTCCAATCGGGACCAAAATTTGTATGTGATATCTTTGACCATAGTAGCATTGACGCAGGGGTTGAAGCTTAAGAAATATGATGTAAAAATTAGCTTTCTACATTCAAGAACCACCCTAGTATACATATATGTATATTTATGCTTGCACATTGCCACATGTTCACATAAAGAAAGGTAAAATTAAATAATTTTTCAAAAAATAAATAAAAAATTAAATGTGTATAAGTAGTATTTCCATTTAAGCAATACACTGTGCGCATAAATAAATACAGTCACTTATATTTTAACGTACATTTACATAAATTCGATTAGAATCATTAGCTTAACTTATAAGTATTAAGGAACTTTGTTGAACTTCACTAAACTTTCGNAAAAAAAAAATAGCAGGTGAGCTTAACAATATGCAACGCCGACTGTTACTTTTCCATGTTGTATACTTATGTATGTGATATCTTTGACCATAGTAGCATTGACGTAGGGGTTGAAGCTTAAGAAATATGATGTAAAAATTATCTTCCTACATTCAAGAACCACCCTAGTATACATATATGTATATTTATGCTTGCACATTGCCACATGTTCACATAAAGAAAGGTAAAATTAAATAATTTTTCAAAAAATAAATAAAAAATTAAATGTGTATAAGTAGTATTTCCATTTAAGCAATACACTGTGCGCATAAATAAATACAGTCACTTATATTTTAACGTACATTTACATAAATTCGATTAGAATCATTAGCTTAACTTATAAGTATTAAGGAACTTTGTTGAACTTCACTAAACTTTCGTATAATGACAAATACATTGTTTCAGGTAAGAAAAACAGCGCCAATGTGCCCATAACCATGCCCAGCGCCCCTATGGCGAAGTAAAATAGGGGCTCCGCAAAATCGGCATAGAATAGTGTCAAGACCAAAGCCACTTGCAAAGCTTGCTCGCACACTACCAGCAGCGCCAAACACTTAGCTTTCGCCGAAGTTGTAAATGCCTCTGCCATATAAACACTGGAAGCCAACGCGACACCAGCGCATGCAAAAACCTGATAGCAGAACATCAAATAGACGACCAACTCAAATGTCAGATGCGGCAGTATAATTGTCGAAATTTCCGCGTAGATGTAGTGCAGCACGCCGCCCATGNTAGCTTAACTTATAAGTATTAAGGAACTTTGTTGAACTTCACTAAACATTCGTATAATGACAAATACATTGTTTCAGGTAAGAAAAAAAGCGCCAATGTGCCCATGACCAGGCCCAGCGCCCCTATGGCGAAGTAAAATCGGGGCTCCGCAAAATCGGCATAGAATAGTGTCAAGACCAAAGCCACTTGCAAAGCTTGCTCGTACACTACCAGCAGCGCCAAACACTTAGCTTTCGCCGAAGTTGTAAATGCCTCTGCCATATAAACACTGGAAGCCAACGCAACACCAGCGCATGCAAAAATCTGATAGCAGAACATCAAATAGACGACCAACTCAAATGTCAGATGCGGCAGTATAATTGTCGAAATTTCCGCGTAGATGTAGTGCAGTACGCCGCCCATTAGAAAGGCGCAGTTCCCAGAGAATAACAGTGAAATTACCGTGATCTTCCGTCGTCCATATTTGTCCACGCACAAAGCGCCCACTATGCTACCAAGCACACCACAAAGTGCCAGCAGATAAACACAATTCATGGTACATTTCAAGCCAGTCATGCTGGCCGTGATGAAGGTCCGATTGACTGGCAACGACAGCGTAATCGCACCGTAGCAACGCAGCAGCAGCACTTTTAATAACGGCAGGGTGTTGCTCTTGCGCATTGCCATCCATATTGTTTGGCCGGCATCATATTCCAGCAGCTGCTT